TATATATATATATGCTGCTGTAAATTTCACATTAGCCACAAGAGGCTGCAGTTTGGTCACAAATAAGGCGGCCTGGTCTTTACCCAGAGTTGAACTCTGCTTCATTTTCACTGTAGGCTTAGTTATTTATATTTTAGTTGCCATAAAAATCTACAAGCATGTTTAGTTTCCGCTGTGTAAAACATGCCTGGATGTTTTCAAGTTAAATAATATATAAACTTTAGGAGAATTACAATAATCAACTGTTTGTAATTTTATATATAGCCCTTTGTTTTATTCTCATTGAGCCTATATGCTCATTCCTGACAGGAGAGAACACCCCTTTAATAATAAGGGCTCTTTAGATACTGTACTTTGTTCATTTTGTACTCACTTGTGGGATCATTAAATATCGCAGTAATATCCCTGTAGGATGTAGGGCTTCATCATTTGCTGTGGTGTTTATAAAGTTTGCCTTGAAAAGACATAATGAGATCACTATGGACCCTATTATAAGTGCACATAACAGCGTGACACCAAGTGGGTAAATATAGAATAATTAATGAAACATAATTTGACCTGTTTAAAGTGGATTAAGGTATCAGATCAGGGTGGAACGTAAAACCAGAAACATAGTTACACAGTGTTAATGATAAATAATAACACACTTATTCTGTATCTACATCAACCACAATGTTTTTGGCTTGTTTCTAAGAACATGGTGGTGGAGGTTACGAAATTATGAGAAGTTTACATTCTCACACACACAAATTACTCTGGATGAGGTTTTAAAGGCTGGTTTACATATTTATTGGATTGAATATATTAAAACAAAGAAATAAAGATTCTTAGTAAACTGAGACTGAAGTATTTCTTCTTCTTGTGATGTAAATTTGGCACTGAAAGCAGATAAAATGTACAGAAAATATAATTGAACAGTTAAATAACTAAACAAATAACATCAGTCTAAAATAAAATCAGTGGTAAAATAAAAATCTAAGAATGTTATGGCTTCTGGCTCCTCCTAGCCTGCTTCAGTTTTGTTTTAACTTAATTTGTACCTACATTTCAACATCAGACCTATCCTTCCCATGGATTCCAGAATCTACTGTAAGCAAACAGTACTTTTTAAAATGATACATCTATTAATTATTAATTGAAAATGTCCACGGTCAAGCTCATGTATCAAAGTATACTCTATATTATGTGGAAATAATGTCACAATTTGCTTATGCATGGCCTAAAGCCCCTTTGTTGTAAAAATGTAGGTTATGCAAATACATTGCCCCACTGAGGTTGTAATTCATCCCTGGCCAAAAGGCCAAAAGGCGGGACATAAATATATGAGGGCACCTTCTTTGTTCTGCGTTTAGTCACCTCTGTGGCCCCTGGAAAACCATTAA